TTGAATATTGTGAGTTGTTTGGAACTAATGAGTTAGTTTAAAGTCCTTAAAGTCAATATAGGTTGCCACCGGTGTAGCCCAATCCGCTGTTGAACCACCAAAGAAAGTTTGAAAAAAGATACCAGTAATCTTGAGTGTATACACCGTGCGGAAAAGGACGTCAGTTGTTTTGAATACTTCCTTGCCATCATACCAAACAGTAATTATTCCATCTTTTTTGCCTGGTGTGTTTAACTGAAGACGTTGAGCCAGTGTATGCCATTTATTGTCTCCATTAAACAAGGGTGTACCAAGCTCATAAGTTGTACCCATGTATGGTGAATCAGGCAGAAAGGGATAGAGAATACCTCGGCCTTTTTCACGCCACATATATCGAGCTGAAAAGCCATCTTCACCATTCGGCGTATCATCACCTGAATTACCTTTACCTCCATACAGACCGGGTAATTTACCACCTCTGACAAAATTGAACTGCGATGGAAATCGAATCGAATACGTTAGTGTAACATCGGACAGTTCTGGATGAAGAAGATTTGACTTCCATTGGGTTCCGCCTTGTGGTAGACCAGCCCTTTCGGTTGCTTGTGGACTCCAACTACCTTTGGGAAAGTGAACTCGAATAAAAGGTGTGCCATTATTTTTAATAATTTCTATATTTTCTTCACCGTAGCTAACGCGGGTCTGGTTCCAGTATGCCAACCAATTGGATAATGTGAAGTTACTTTTCCACAAGGTCTCAATTGCTTCAGATGAGTGACCTACAAGAATAGATAAAGTTATAAATTTGAAAGATGAACAAACATAGCTGTCTCTATCTTACCTAGCACCATAAGAAGAACGATAGAAACAAAGAAACGCAACATGTTTTTATTACTTATGTGTTGAAACAATACACTAGTATTTATAGAAACAGACAAAGACACATGGGGAATAAATAAACTTTGGGTTGTTTAATATGACAAATGGGTAAAACACCACAGGTGTGTATTAGTGACGTTATTTTGTTCATTTCCCATCAATCATATATTAAATTGCGCACGTAACACTCAGTTGCAATTGAAAAACGATACTATATTCAGCATTGAATTGAGATGACGCCCTCGTGAAGCAAAATTGTTACAATGAATCGTAATAATATTATAGAAAAGAAAGGAAGAGTTTCGAAATAAAATGACTAGTTGTATATTGAGTCATGCGTTTCATTCATCGTTGTTCTGTTCTATTTGATCTTCATTTTCAATAGATACCTAATCATATTCGTGTATTGTTTAGTCAGTTAGTAGATAGATGTCGACTATCACCTATTACAAATGTTCGACGAAGATTTTCTTTGTTATTCCAGTCAGTTTTAATACAGAATCTGTACAAGAAAACAGTTCTAATACTGGCATTGTAAGCTACAGAATTAAATATCGGCTTGTATCATGTGTATATGTAAAATCCTATACATTAGCACTTATTGTGACACAAAGGTCTCTTTAAAAAATTCCATATGTTCTACTTGTATAGAACCACAATTTTTGAATTCAGCATTTGTTTTTATTTGTGTTTACGATATAAAACTTTGGATTGAAAATCCTAATTAGAAGAATAAATGATCAGAAAATCATTTTAGATCTTACGTAGTCGTTTCTATATTTCTAAAACAGCAAAAAGAAAAATTTTCGGCACCTTCAAACCACAGTTTAACATTGAATATGTGTCTTTTTCTCGCTCTACATTGAATTCATCTTTTAAATCTTTTGTTTTTTTTATTTGATAACCTGTTCATTTGTGTAAGTAAGTTCGAATTTGTCGATTTTTCTATCAAATCTAATTCTTTCAATATCGATTCTCTTTAATAAGAATTTATCGTATCAAATATATCTTGTTGTTATCAAAAATAACAAGAAATAATAGTTGAAGTTTTTTTTTCCTTTCTTCTAAAAGACTAATATAAATAAGTAGCACTAGTCGTCTTATGATCAGAATCATTAGGTGTGAGTGTGAAACTGAGGGGCAAGAATTCAAATATCTACAATCCAGTTCTATCTATATCCGTTGGTATCTTGCGTGAGTTCAACTGTTGGAACCCGTTTCCGACCTAAACCTGAAAATTTTATTCGTTTATTTATACTCAATTAGCTATTGTCTTCGAATAAAGTTAGCCGATAAAAAGTGACACTTTTATCAAGAAACGAAATATATATTATAAAGACAACCAAAAGACCACCTTAGTTCTCAAACGATATCAGAATTTACCAAACTTGTAGATAGTCTCAGCAAAGTCATCAAAATTTACATTGATTATGTGGTCAGCATAGTACTATGCTATTGTAAGCTATCAGCTGCTATGGTCCCATTTCTACTAAGAAACGACGATAACATAGTAGAGCTCTCTTGTTAAAACTCTTCCAAACATTAATCATTGTCACATGATTTAATAGTGATAGTTCAGATGATAATCGTTGTATAGTAGTAAGCTTTAAATATTGTATGCCGATGAGTAATAAGGCGTATGAGAAATAATTTTATATTAAATTCTATTGTTCAATCACTAAATTTTTTACATAGAAACTTCATTGGTATCTGCAATGAAATGTAAAGTAAGTTCATACATATCTATTTCAATAAAATTTGCTCACAAATCATTAAATATACGTTCAATTTATTCTTGTCTATCATTATTTTCTTATGTAAAGAAATTTCACACGAATTATCTGAAAGAAAACTTTAATTATTTGTTTAAATCGTTTTATTGTTGAGTATCAGTAACTGAAGTAATATTAAAAAAACAAGTAATTTACCAGTTAGACTACTATCAAATAAATATTGACAAGATAAATAACGTAGTATAGTGGTTGAAAAGTTTCTTATAGAGAAACTTTATTAATGTGTGTTTGTCTTTTTTATAATAATGCTCGAGTTTAAAAGGAAATCCATATTTATGATCTGAACTGATTATGTTTTCAAAGATATATTTATCATATAAAATAAAATAAAAAATAAAGTATTTCGATAATGGCACTTAGTTATGAATGGGAAGCTAAATTATTATGTTGTTGGAAAAAGTAAGAAAACTGAATTTGAAAAGTTTTGTCTATAATATTACTTTTAGTAATCGCAAAAGATTCTTTTGGACACCAAAGTCTCATCGGACGAGACCTCCAAAAACTATAAGTTTTTACTCTGTTAAATTTAGATTTACATAAAAACGTGTATTTGTCATCATATTCTATACTATCGTAGTCCTTTTTCTCTTATTCGAACGAAAATAAAGTCAATAGATAAAGTTAGCCTTGATATTATCAGTTATCTATTCACTCATACTCACAACTACATTCACACTCTAGTAGGATGGCAATGCCCATAAATAAATTAAAGTTTCTGCACATGTGTCTCTAGACAACCCTCGATTCTCTTCTAGAACGAAAAAAAAACAGACATTTTTTTGTTCTTCGCAATACTTGTATTGCATGATTTCTATCTTAAACATTCTAAGTAGGAGTAAAAGTCGGTTTTACATGTCACTAAAGTTTAATGGAAGCATGCGCTAGAGGACAAGATTGATCAGCTTCATGGCTGCATGTAACATTGTCCTGTTACGATGATAGATTGTTCTCGATTCAAATAGCAAACACAATAAAGATTTAATTACTTCCGGAAGTCATTCCTTTTTCTGTTAAAGGTGAAAATTATTAGTAACATACGCTACAATCAATGAATTCTATCTCATAGAATGGTCTATATTTTGGATGCATTTATCTTTGCTACGAAATAAACGTGCCATATGATGAAAAGTTCTGATATATTAGACAAAAATACATCATACTGTAGTGTCACATTGAGTCAGAATAGACGTACCACATTTCGCTAATATATACTAAAACTTTTTATAAGTACTGTCTTAATTTTGACCTTTTTTTTCCTAGAAAACAAGCTGACTTTCTCACGTTAACAATGATATTCAATCCCGAAATTCCTTTCGTCAAAGGAGAAATGAGATGAGTTACGATTCAAATCAAGAAATATAATATTGACGGCTGAAAAAAACTGAATGGTGCTTATGTTCATATTTGTTCGCTTTTGTTACGTGATTCAAGATTTCGTTCAAAATTTTTTTCAAATTTTCCATCAGGTATTATTGAAAATTACACTCACATGCACATTCATACCGTCTCTCGATACATAGACAATGCGCAAAACATTTCCTAAGAGTTTTTTTTCAATCAATTTATTTATGCTGTTTTGATCACATATAATAAACTGATTGTATTATTCTTATTTTAAAATTGTGTATCTGGTCGCTCCTCTAAATATTTTTTTATTCCTGGATTGTCTTGAACAGCATCAAAAACTTCCTTGAAATGTTCATCCAATTTAGCCTTCACCTGGGGTGCCTCCCTTATAACCCTATCCATTGACTGATAAACAAAAATATCAGGATAAACTGTTACCGACGAAGTAACTTGAATTTGAACTGTAAGCTTTCTTCAGTTTCATCAATTTTTCAACATGAACGAAGAGATCGTTGTTTAAGAATTTTTCGAGTTCTTGAGCTTTCTTATCTTCATTCTTTTCGAATATGCACCTTTTGAGAAACAAATCGCTCATATCCCATTGAGTATCAACAACAGCATCGATTTTAGCTGATTCAAGATTGTTTTTACCGGCCAGACCCGTTTCATGGGCTATATAGCGAGCAATCGCGAACGATTGAGGTAATTGGGTTCCATCTGCAAATTCAAGTACAGGCACCTGACCAAGCAACATTTTGGGCTTGTATTCGGCCCATTGTGTAAAGTCCAAGCGAATATCATCCCATGCTCGACCAGCAGCAGCAAGTATAAGACGAATGAACTCCGCACGTGCCCGTAGGTTAAAGTAGTACAATTTGAGACCACTGCTGCTCATGTTCGAAGATGAGGTGGATGGCGCTTTGATACAAAAGTGAAATAGAGAACAATGATTCTCATAGTTCTTTGTGTGCGTCTTTTATATGTCAGTATCTTCTTGTTAAGAACAATGACAGAAAAATGATAACGAATACGTTTAGATAAGTTAAACGAGCTTTCACAATTGAGGTGCAAGAGTTGTGCAATGAATTTCGTGAATGTAAAATGAGTGAAAAAGAATGCTGATGTTATTTTATCGAGAATCATTGTCTTTGGATTGCAAAGCTGTCAAGTTCAATGCGAGGCTAGAAACAACAATAGATGCGGCTCATTTGATTTGAATTATAAAAATAGAATTTTCAGTAAATAAGCCAGGAATACTGACTATTCATTCATCTAATACTAATATACATACTAAAAACATGGTGAAACTCCTAATATAAATACATATAGAATAGAATTTCTCTTAAACAGGCATATAACGGCGTTTTCCAAAGTGCTCACCTTATCAATGTGCTAGATTTAGAAAAGTTTTAATTTTTTTTGTTTAAAATATGATTGTTGTTCAAGAACTATCTACCACTGATTTCATCTCTTTTACTGGTTACTATCAAGCCTTCTTGAAAAGTCTGTGGTAGAGGTTTACTAGATATTTTCGAAGTCGATGCGCATGTCTACTATCTCTTAATTTCAAATCACTATATATTTTCGCTGATTGGTAACATTGACAAGTGTTTGTATGTATCTCTACAGAAAAGCATTCACATAATAAATCGACCATTGCCCACGATCCAAATTTCTTGCATGGATAAACACCAGAAGAATATCATCCTAAATTCATTGCACACAGCTACAAGTAAATCATGCTTGTTTGAAAGACGAGCATCAACTAATGTTGAATAATATAGAAAAGAAAATGAACTACACCTCAGTCTCATTCACAGAAAATAACAGATCATTTTGGCTTAGCAGCAGAAGAGGCTACTTGCAAGTTGTGTGCTGGCTTTCGATGCTTTGAGTTTGTAACTAAATGTTTTACTGTTACTAAGTATGACCAACGCTGTGCTCGTTCTCACTGATACTTGAAGCAACTCCGTCGTATTTCACATTCTAATACCATATGGATTGCATTGCGAACCTTTTTCAACTCATTGCATCTAATTTTGATTTGGCTATGAGATGGTGTGAAGTGTAGAGTGCAGATGGATGAAGAGATGGCTAACATACACCCATACCTTTTAGTCTATGAAACATTCTTATGTTAAATGAGAGAAATATCTTTTGAAGGAAAACTTTCACACGCCCTGTAGTAAATGTCCTTACCAACGAATTAGCATTGGTAAGACATAATTAGAAAAGCCAGTGTTACGGGTCTTGATGACGTGTGAAGAAATAAGTCAAGAGAACAATGGCTTTGATTATCCAAAACATGTAACAGAATAGAAAACGACTGTTTAGAGTAGTCAATAGTTCTGGAGAATTGAATCGAATAATGTTGTGTCCAAAAGGAGAATGTTATTAGGAAAAGTTTCATTTGCGCAAAAGAAAAATTACAAAGACACATTAATTGGTAGAGGTGATAAAAGAAATAAAATTTAAAAAACTGCCTTCAGCCAAAAGTAGATATGCAATTGAATAACTTTTTGTAGAGTAGACATTAATTCGAGCAATCTTCTCTTGAAAAGAAAAAAATCAGTTACTTTTTTCATTGTTTTATAATTAACTCTTCAGAAAATCTCTAAATGATTCTAAAGAATGTTGAATCTGATGTTGAATTCTTAAATTTGTTCCGTTCGAATAAGTTGTGATCAGACAAATATAGTTGCAACATTTAATACGTCCTCAAACTACATTTTGACTCGAAACGTGTTTCTATTTTGAAGGATTCTTCAAAGCATTACTCCTTCACCAACTTTTATTATCGAAATATAATCGATAATAGAACAACAACAATGCTTCACTATGTTGTAAAAGAATCTCCAAGCTTGTAAGCATAGTCACAAAAATGAATATGCAACGGTTTTATGATGCAATGCAATAAAATTCGTCACATAGCTATTCTCAAATAACGATTTTTTTCAATATCCGTTCTTATCTGACTTTGATGATCACAGAAGTTGACAAATTTTTTTCGTTAAATCGTATTTTGAAGTATAGCATTTGCATACGTACTCTTGCAAGGCCTATTATTCCGGCGATAATTATTGCTGACGACAAACTCGATTGATGATGCTTTCTCAACACTACGTTTCTTTAATTATCATTGTTTGTATATTTGTGAAAGTTCACTGTATCGTTGCATGTAGGTTGAAGCCATGCTTTTTTTCTCTGAATTTTATTTATAAAATTTTCATTTTTTCGACTGTGAAACACAAAAATATCATGAATTATTCGCTTCGATATTTTAGCTAAGCAAAGTGAAACAATTCATATTCTAATTGAAACCGAATATACAGCACTTGTCATTCGGATTAATGGCAATCGTGATCCATTGGTCGTTTATATTGGAAAGCGACTTGATAACAGTGCTGAATATGCATCGATTCCTAGCTATGATGCCAAACAACAAAACGGTGATTATACAGGACTCTATAGTTCTGCTTATACACCTAGTGGTACACGAAATTTACTCGAGCCTGCTATTCAAGTCGTTCATGCTGATGGAAATCCATCGTTGGACTTGAAATATGTTCGTCATCATCAGAACGTAACAAATCAAGTAAATGGGATCAAACAGACCACAATCTATTTCAACGATACTAGTTATCCATTCGAAGTAATTCTTTATTATCGAGCGTATTACAAGGAAAATGTCATCGAACAATGGACAAGTATTAAACATATGGAAACCAATATTGTACGCTTACAAAAGTATAGCTCTGCTAATCTCTATTTCACATCAGCTCACAGGTACTATCTCACTCATTTTCATGGCGATTGGGCACAAGAAATGCAACCGGAACAAATTCAACTCACTGCTGGTATGAAAGTATTAGATTCGAAACTAGGTACTCGAGCTGATCTTTTTCAAGCGCCTTCATTTTTGTTGTCATTGAATGAACCGATAAACAACGAAGATGATGATTATGGTGAAGTGTTTTCTGGTACACTCGCCTGGTCAGGAAATTATCAACTACAATTCGAAATCGATCCACTGCACAATATGCGTCTTATCGCCGGCATAAATCCATATGCTTCGGAATATTACTTGATTCCCAATAAGGAATTTGTCACACCTAGTTTTATATTTACTTATTCACATCGTGGTCTAGGTCTGACTAGTCGAAATTGGCATCGTTGGGCTAGAAAATATCGTATTCCAATGGGTGAAAACAATCGTTTAACACTACTCAACAATTGGGAAGCAACTTATTTTGATTTTAACGAAGAGAAGTTGACTTCATTGATGCAAGATGGCAAGAATCTGGGTGTTGATTTATTCCTTTTAGATGATGGTTGGTTTGGTAATAAATATCCGAGAAATAATGATCAAGCTGGTTTAGGTGATTGGCAAGAAAATGTTCAAAAATTGCCGCATGGTATTGGTCATTTGATAAGCGAATCTATAACTATAGGAATCAAATTCGGTATTTGGATTGAGCCAGAAATGGTCAATCCAAAGAGTGAACTGTACGAGAATCATACTGACTGGGTAATTAGATTACCCAATCGATCAGAATACTATTTCCGAAATCAACTCGTACTAGACATGTCAAATCGAGAAGTACAAGACTTTGTCTACAACACGGTTGATCGTCTTTTCACTCAACATCCAATGTTAGCATATGTTAAATGGGATTGTAATTCTGTTATTTACAATGCTTATTCAACAAGCAATTCTTATCAGTCTCATTTGTACATTGATTATGTTCATGGTCTATACAATGTTCTCGATCGTCTACGAAATAAATATCCTACGATACCGATGATGTTATGTTCGGGTGGTGGAGGACGAGTTGATTATGGTGCTCTTCAATATTTCACAGAATTTTGGCCAAGTGACAATACAGATGGAATCGAACGAGTATTCATTCAATGGAGCTATTCATTCTTTTTTCCAGCGATTGCTACATGTAATCATGTGACTAATTGGGGAAAACAATCGTTAAAGTTTCGTACTGATGTAGCAATGATGGGCAAACTAGGATACGATATTGTTGTGAGCAAACTCGATTCTGATGAGCTCCTATTTAGTCAACAAGCACTTCGTATCTATGATCGCCTTAAAAATACTATTTGGTACGGCGATCTCTATCGATTGGTATCGCCATATCGAGCAAAGAGTGATATTGCCTCATTGATGTATGTCAATAATAACCAGAATCATTGTGTGTGGTTCACTTATTTGATACGCAATCGATATCGAGCCGGTAGTACTCGTCCTATTCGATTGAAAGGGCTTGATCCGATTAAGATTTACAAAATACAAGAAATAAATATTTATCCAGGTACCGACAATTCAACAATCATCAATCAGAACAGTTTATCCGGTGACTATCTAATGACATTTGGATTTAATCCGACGGTGAATACACAACGAACAAGTGTTGTTATTGAACTAACAAATGGTGTACAGGTTTTAGCTTGTTTCTTGGATCATATCAGTCGGTCCTTTTTGTTTTTGCTGTACATGCTTTTCTGTTTCTATTGCTAACATAAACAATAACATTTATCTAACACAGTAATATTCGAAAAAAAAACTGACTTCATCAAAATATGTATTAAAATATTTCCATGTTAACAGAAGAAATTGTTGGCACACTTGAGCTCCATTGTGTCATTTGCATTAATCTCGAATAACTTGATCATCAGAACTCCAATTTCAATTCACCTTCATACATTTGCATGTTCGCCCAATTCTTTCTGATTGGTCATCAACATAGCCAACAACAACAATGATGAGCAAAAGAACGACTACAGCGTTGATAGATTTGAAAAGCATCCTGTCAAACAATGAATTTATGCAGAAAGATATATGAATATATAGGATCGATCCTATAGTGTCGTAATATTACTGACATATTGCAAGACAAAAAAGAATTGCAAAGAGGAATATGATGACTATTATCATTTTATTTGTTCCATTTGACAGAAAGAAGAAGAAGGAGAAATAAATTTCCGATTATAACAAAGATTACAAACATTGGATATTTATAACATTAATATTTAATTTAGGTATGAAGTATAGTTGTGGATCCTCTGCAGTTGGTATATATTTTAGAGATCGAAAGTAAATCGAATATAACACTCTTTATTCGACTCAGCAGCAATTCGTTCACTAAATCTCAAACATGAACGATACAGCTCACTCCAGTATCGAGCTCATGTTTTTTGTATCTTGTGTTTTGGCAAACTGTATCGATCTCTTAGTGTAACATATATACTAGGTTGACCAGAACTCATATTTTCCTGAAAAAAAAGGGTGTAGGTGTGATCGATATGAATGCGTATTTAATGAGATGAAGACTCCCATACATCCTTCTCGATTCTCATCTTACAACACACGAAAACCATACATCAAAATCAAGTTTATATTGAAGTACAATGTTTAAACATAACAATATCGCCAATAAGAACATCAATAATCTATGGTGTTGGCAATGGTGGAGCTAGTGCATATGATAAAAAACTACTATTCACTACAAGTATCTTTGATAGATGGATTCGATTTATGGCTACAAGAGGTACTGTAATACTTCTAACATCACCAGGAATGAATTATTGTATTGTTTTTTTTTGGCAAGATGGTCCAATGGAACATTACCGTCAATAATAGAAACAATAGCTAGTGGTAATATATGCCTTGATGCACTTTGAGTATATGTAATTCATGTTATTGCACAATATGATTTTATGCAAATTTTATTTATAACAAAAAAAATATTTTTTTTTTCTTTTTAGGTTTTTTCTTATCATCAAATAATCAATCAATATGAAAGAAAAATATTTCTTTTTTCGTCTACTAAGCATGGTCTCTTGATTAAAAATAAATAAAAAAAGTATGGCTGCCATATCGAAGAAAGACATTCGTTAGAAGAAAAGAATAACAAATGCAATCTGATTATAACAAGAAGTTTATGCTTTTTCTCTTACAATGTCTTTGTCTCTTTTTTTTTCCTGAAATAGAATTCAATTATTTACGAATGCAAAAAGCAAGTTCTTTTTTTTTTCATTTGATTTAGAACTTATCCTATCGAATCGTTTTCATTGAGCAGATTGATATACATACATTCTTTTCGGCACTATAATCATCACAAATATGTGTTTATTAAAACCACAGTAGTGAACAAATATTTTTCGTGCGATTTTTAGAAAAAAAACAGAATCAATACGGACCAATGGAATGAAGCACGAGTTAGTTCTTGGCACTAAAAATTTTTAAAGAAAAACTTTCAATGAAATAAATGGTCTACGTTTTTGAACTAAGATATTAGATCATTGAAACAGCATTCCTGGAAATGATTGTCAGACATGTCGAGATGTTGTCCCAATAATCTAATGTTGTAAGTCAAATCTTATCGATTATAGAGTAGGCAAGTTGCTGCATACAAACTTTTCCTTTGAAATGTTTCATTTGCTAAACTGTAGCCCATTTTTTCTTACATTCACTCGTACGTATTTTACGTTTTTTCTGGAACATTTTCAGAGAGAAATAATTTGATTTGAACAACTATATGAAAAATTTCGTCTACCAATATACGATGTGAAATTTTTTGTCCTAATTTTCATTTTCCATTTTTTTGAAATTTTCTCACAAAAAAAAATAAAATTCTTTCTCTTTTAAATCATGCGAAACAGTTTGGCAGTCTTGCATTTTTGAGATCCCTCAATCTATTGACAGATTCGACAAAATATATAGAAAATTGATGTTTCTTGAATATTGATTGTTTCATGTAAGCATATTTTATACCCTTCTTTTTGAAAAAAGATCGAACTGCAATACGTAGTAAGTCATATCGCATTCATCAGACGATGATAGAATCGATTATTACAAAAATCTAAAGAATGCGATGGATTAAATAATGTCCCTTCTTTGAACAAAAAGTACCATTACATAAGTAGGATAACATTTTATTGTATTGTTTTATAATAATAATAATTTTTGAATGATGAAAACTTTTTTTGTCTATCATATCCTATTCAAATGTGAAATTGGATATCTTCTGAATTTATTTCCTATTGAAGAATTCCATTATCGTTCATGTAATCTAGAAAATGAGTTGCTTTTGATAATATGGATATTTATTTTCTTGAATGATAAAACGAAAATATAAAATTAGTCATAAAGAATAAAACTCACTGTATTTGATTATCTTGTTAAAAAAATTTTTTGTTTGTATGAAAATTTTTCATCATGATTTAGATACTATTTCGGTTTGAATTCATAAAAATACATCTTGACGTCAATGTAACCAATGTATTATTCTCAGTATTGCTGACAAACAAATGAGGATTCTCTGTGTTTGACAAGAAGTTGACGCACAACGAATATAAATTTACATAAAAGATTTTTTTATTCGAATATTCTTTCAGTATGATTTTGTACTAAAAAGTCGTCGATATGCACAGTATTTCAAACGAATTAATGAAAAGGTATGCTTTTGACCGAAGTTTAAGAATAGCATAAAATAAGAGAAAAAAAACAGAAAAAGAAAGAAATCTTATTAGTCGTCTCTATTGAAAGGAGATGTTTCTTTTTTTCAAAATAATCAAAAACTGAATAATTACTATATTGATTTTTTCTTGTCTATGAATAATTCTATAAATTACTAGGCGAACTATATTCTTACATTAGTATGTAGTGCATGATCATACTATTAAAGTGAGCCAGATTGCTTAATCAGATTATTCTATTGAAACCGAAGCCATTTGATCAATAAATAAAAACTCTTTCATTTATTAATGTCTGCTGCAAGTAGTTTAAATGATCTTTCTTCAACAATGTGGCCTGACGAAATCTATTCTGAGCCTATCTCATCATCATCAAATAATCATTCAGAACAATCATCAACAACTTTCAAGTAAGATTTATTTTGAAGCCGTTTTTTTGTTTGAAAAAAAAAGATTTCCTTAAATCAACAAGGTTTGCAACTCACTCTGGAGAACATTGTACTAGTAAACGAGCAAAAATAATTATTATTAGTAGCATTGCTCTATTGATTTTGGTGATAATTATCATGGTACTAACGGTGATTGTTCTTCTGAATTCACAGAATACAACAAATAAAACAACATCATTGATAACAGCAAACAATGTCAATTCATATTCTAGTACAAATATTACTTGCTTAACAGCTTACTCTCTAAATCATATTATAATTCATTAATTTAATTGATGAATGTTTAGGTACAACAATATCAACAATCTATGATGTTGGTAATGGTGGAGCTAGTGATGATCCACCTTGTTCGTCATACACAGTTGTCAACGATCCTTCGCGCAATATAGCTACGCCTGGAATGGGTGGTGCGTGCGATAATGGACCATTATTCAACACAAATATTGGTGGTAGATGGATTCGATTTATGGGTAAAGGAGGTACTATAATACCTGTAACATCACCAGGAATGAATCATTGTAGTGCTTACCTATCGGGATGGTTCAATGGAACGTTACCATCAACAATAGAAGCAATAGTTAATGGGTATATATGTTTTGATACAGTTGCCTCACCCTGTACAGTCCTTTCTCCTGTTTCAGTTGTGAATTGTAACGGTTTTTATGTTTATTTTTTGCCACCTTTGATTATCTGTAATTCACGTTATTGTACAGTATGAATTGATTTCAGTTTTTTCCATTAATGATGTATTTAAAGACGTATATGTTTTGACTTTTTTAAATTAAGAGTTGTACTATTAAAATAACTTCTATTCATGATTTGATTGTAAAAATATCATCTTTGTGTCGTGTAAGTGTAACTAAGAGAAGAAATCTTCATCAGGAAAGAACGAAGTTTTGATCTTCCATTGATACATAAATTATATATTCAAAGTATGAAATCTTTCAGTTCTTTATGATAGAACGTTATGAAAAGTTCACTGAAATCTACTCAAAAGAGCTAATATCATACCAAAAGAAAACTTTTTTCATTGGTCATCCATTTTAAAATAAATGAACTATTCTTGTTGCATTTTTCTGTAATTTTATAATACAAGTAATCACAAATGTATAGATTGTTGCCCAATATCAAACAATAATAACGATGAAAAGAATTTCATTAGTAGGAGAAAAAGTATCACTGGATCGAATGAAATTTAAACATGGTGTTTTTTTCGCTCGCTCTCTCTCTCCATTCATGGTTTTTCGCACAAAAGTTGTGTTTAAATTTAAATGAACAAAAATTAATATTTTGGCATGCTAGCATTTTACTTAGATGAATTAAATTTGACAATGAATCATATTACTGCATTTAACTGTATTATTTTATTAGACAAAGTCTGTGTATATGTCTTGTTTTATTAAAGTCTATAGCATCGAAATAAGAGATTCAGACGTGAATATAAATTAATGGTTAGACAAAATTGAGTGAAACAATTATGTTCATGTGATCCAGCAACCGACTGAAACAATAAAATTCTATAGATAAAAACATAACAAATTGAAATTGACAAATGTCCTTTTTTAATCCTACACATTAATTCGTCTATATTCTGAGATTTCTATCAAAAGTTAGATTATATTTGTTGCTTTGAATTCATTACATTTCAAAAATATTTCTTTCACTAGCTTGCTTTTAAGCTGTGTATATTTGTGAATACGAGTTCACTAGTCATTAACACTGCTCAGGTATGCATAGGAAGAAAACAGAAAAAACATACGGAAGCAAAAGAAAAAACTAGAGAAGACAATATATAAAGCAAACCATATAGACGATCTATCACATGCTTCTAGAGTTCGTACTCACTCTAGAAACATTGACTGCATAGTAAACCCTCTTCTAAAAAATTTCGTAAGCATCCTAATGCTAATTTAAGTAGACAAAAAGGAGCAACAAAAAAAGCAATTTTAATGTCACAATAATAATTCATCACATTAACACGTTTTTTCGTTTTTTTTCTCAGCTATTTAACCAATAGTTTTTTTCGTTCAAATTCATTCTCTTCTTATGCTTATGTATCTTTTCTTAGATCTCTTTCACTCGAGCGCGTTCATGATATTATCTCTTGCTTTATAATCTATTTCAGTGATTATTGTGCAGAAAACATTCTGCTCATGCAAATAAATTTTTCTTCTAATCATTAAGCCAAGATAGGATGAGTATAACCAATTGAGAAATATTCTTGCGTAAAGTACAAAAAATAAGTTCGACATTTCAGTTGGTTTTATGTTCCTTGTATTTTCTTTACCTCATCTTAGACAGTTTAGTCATATGAGCAATTGATCTAGGATCATCGAATATATCAGTTTTTTCTTTTTTTGTTACACACAATGGCAATAAATTGTTATTTTGATTGTATTATGATCATAGAATCATAACTCGAGAATAGTTGAATAACAGTAGTGATATATCCAAAGCATACCTCCAAATAAAATATTGTTAGGTGAGTGCGAAGATATGATGAAACTTGCACACATGTCAGCTATTTACCGACAGATGGTTACTATCTGTTATAATAAGATAAGCGAGTCCTGTAACGCAAAGAGGCAACTCAATACTTCATGGCTACTTGAAAGCTAGTGAAGGTTATATCTGATAATTACTTTAGATCTATTTCTGCTGAACATCAATACATCTGCCGGTGTACGGTCGAAATAAAATTAAAATAGTGAGCAGACATAGTCTTAACTGGCCCGCAAATAATCATAAAGTATTGAATTCTCTCTTTACCTTATGGAATTCGATTAACTTCGAAATAAAACATGTAAAAACACGTTTAAAGCCTGAAACGAAAAATATTCGTAAGAATCGCACATTTTAACGCGTTATGAACATGTGAAGCTATCCGATACCGTAAAACCTCGTTTAAGAATTATAATACGTACGTAACGCATTAAAATGTACGTTTTTTACGATTTGGAACATGTTTATTTTTGGCCCATTTTTACATGTTTTCCTTCTTGAGTTTGTCTGAGTGGGTAATCAAAACAATACATTGAGAATAATTGATAATTTCCACATAGTCTACATTAATTAGATAGAAGATTAATTTTACCGAAAAAGAAATCATTTGAATAAAAGTCTCTTGTATCTACTTGAGCAGTACAATTATACAATGACGTTGAAATTCTCATCTGTCTATATATATATAGAATCAACAGAAGCAGGCTTTCTTATAATGACTTTTCTAATATGCCAAGGAGCTTTGATTACAATAGCATATGCCATGTAAAATATTTCGATTAATAATTTCTGTAATTCGAATAAATCTACAAAAGAAAATAATCTTCTCTTTTATCTTTAGAAACTATCATTTCAATATGATTCGAATTTAATGAAATCGAAATAGGAAATCAATGATTCGCTATTTTCATTTCTAGTATTTCAATAATTCGACATGTTTGATTTTGTTCAATTGATGGAGATGAGATTATAGTTGTCGATGGATAGATATAAATGTCTAAAAAAAATCATTCAATATAATGACTCTTCATGAAGAGTCAGTTAGACTATAAAAGAGTTCATCTTCACTATTGGGATAGTTCAACAAAAACTATTTTTCCATGAACACATGATTTTTTTCATCTTCGAAATTGTTCACTGTTTGTTCATTGACATAACCAATAATTATCACATCGTATTAGAGTCGAATTATACCGATTAATCCAAGAAGCAGAACAATTGCTTTCATCATCTGTATTACGAATTTTAGCATTAGTAAATTCATTACATTAGTAAATAAATAAGAATTGAGCCAAATCTGCTAGGGAGTCTCGCTTCAATTTACATCCTATTTCGACATCAAGTGATAAACACGTGTGCAAAAGACTCTCCACCGAAACATCTTTACAGTATGTAGACGTGGATATTATCGCTGTCATTAGCTACACGCAATATCGACATCCAATATGGCATTGCCTGAATCGAAAGACAGTTTGACTTTATGATTATTATTCATTAAAATATAAAATTTTTACTGTATGAAAATCATTATTAATATCATAGGTCTCTGAAATTGTCTCATGCTATTGATTCCACTGACACACTTCATATGTCTCTACTATTTTTTGACTCAGTGAGTATGTTTGGCAAGCATGAAATTGCTCCTTTGGTGTTTTCCAGTCCATATTGAATCATACGATGGCTAACATTAGTTTCGTCGAAATGCGCACGACGTTGCATGAGCGTGCGCTAAAGCATGGAGATAGCCTCGTGGATTTCTGGCTTGTAGAAGGGCTCTTGATAATTTTCAGAAGTGAGAGAGAGTGAAAACTTGAAAGGCAGCCTGTAAAGCGCATAGTGACTGAGAAAAGGTACCTTCTAAAATTTGACAGGCAATTCTCGAATAACATCTCAAAATTGTCGCAGATATCAAGCAACAACTGGGAGGAGCTAGCTCACTCCATTGTCTGCCACATTGAGACCTACGGTTCGTATTGAGTTAGAGGAGTACATCGATTGCTCTTAAATGCTGAGGCATTCAGGAGTGAGCTACTCTAATAAAGAGATTTTTATGACCTTAATTAGCAATACAGTATGTCACCATATTAGGCTTTAAGTCTTTTATAAAGAAAAGTTGCATAGGGTTTGTTAAGACTTAAGCAGTTACATTTACATTATCATACGAAAAGTTATTAGACGTATGTCAATCTTTAAGTATGTATTTAGTAAAATATTACTAAGAATCGTTTTACATATGATCCACTGTGATAAGTCATTAAAGAACAACATTTTTGATTCAATGAAGTATCTGGAACATGAAGATTGAAATTTTTCTTAAGTGTCAATTATATTATTTTTTAGTTGCCACAGGTAAAACAAAAAGAAAAAAATCTATGGCTCAAACAGTAGAGTAATATTGTGTAATACAATTTTTCTGGTCAATATGATTGTCTTGGTCTTGGTTAAACATTCAAAAGTTTAGCAATAAGTGGTTGTTAGGAAAGTTTTCATAAGTAATAAATTCTTTTTTCTATATTATTGTATTGTTATCTATGATCTTATAAACTAGATTAATGTCGAATAAATTTACCTATTCTATCTGTCACAGAGCAACAAATTCAATGTTTCTTACAAGTAAAACGTAAAAAACAAAGAGACGTAGGTAGGTGTTAAAACAAAAGCCATATTCACATCCACCCAGATTATATCAGCTGATTATTTCTTGCCAGGGTATTTACTTTGGTTAATTCTTCTGAAAGTCGTGTAGGATTCACTTGTTTTGCTTACTAGTTATTGAATTTGATTACAATCCATCGTTTCTTTCTACCTCTCTTTTCAATGAAGGCTTCATTGAGAATCTTCATGTTGTTAATTAGTTGAGTATAATCACTTGGATAATCATTCTCGAAACGCACATTCATGAATTTTTTTCTTCTAAACAATTGCCAACGTATCTGAGAATTAAACATTTTTGATCACGAATTTAGTATAAGCAATCATATTTAGCTATAATCGTGTTAATATTTTCTTTCATTAGTTTGATCAGTTGTTTAGTCCAGCATCAACGTAAATTTATTTAGTGCATAATTGAATTATTATTTTTTATTTACTGAGAAAGTTATTATCAATGCCGCGTAATCCTCGCTGGATTGGAGCGTTGCTCATAGTTATTTCTTGCTTATCCACAGAACTTTTCAAATCATTGAGAAAAGATTTTTTTTTTATTAATACTAACAAGGACAGCAGTGATGATATCAAAACAAACCTAGTGATTAAACATGAAGAAAGAAGACTAGGACAACCGATTTTTCGATCATCTATGACTGTACGGTCTTCGGTTTGGTCAACATTCGTTATATTTATTTGTCAATACTAATACAAATAGATTCATTATTATTCTCATTCTGCCGACGGTGGTGGATTGTTCGATGAATTCATTTTTACTCGCTCCATGGCCTTGATTATCCAGTTGATTCGCTCGTTGTTCTAAATGAGACAAAAGCCATTATATTCTAGGATACATTAACATTGCACAATAGCCTACTTTGCGGAAAGCAGCTTGCATATTTTCCATGTCTCTATTAGCTTTTTCCAAAATATGTTCACGCATCTGGACCATGTCTTCTCTGACACTTTTTATGGAATCAGCGAGAAAGAGTAATAGATTTTGATAGCCATCCTCACGAGCGACAGTGGTTCTAGTCATGTCCTTTCTCGTGACATTTATAGTACTGCTCTTTGGACTGCTGGTATTCAATCTATGTTTATTGTAACTTTAGTTGGTAAAAATTCAAAGATAAGAATCTTACCGAGATTGTAATTTTAATTTATCAGCATTTCGATGAGCCATTAGCGATTGAGAATATTGTCTAGTTGCTACTCTTTCGAATTCGGACCATTCTTTATCGATTTTTGAATTTTTTGTTATCATCTCTAGCCAACAAAGATACAGATTAATGCGTACGAAATGAAAATACTTTGAATGACATACTAAAAGTTTTCGATTTTTTCATTTTGCAACTTCGACATAACCCTGAACAAAAACACCTGAAAGATATCGAGAGAAGTTTATAGGTATGATGGATGAGAATGAATGGTGAAAAAAATGGTGGTCGATGAAAATATTCTCGATAAATTGTGTATCGTTGATAGTGCCAAACTTGATGTGTGACACGATCAACATCCTCATAATAATGACTAAATTGAATACGAAAATTGTTATGTCTTCTTCATAAAAAAGATACACATTCTTACTTAAACATGGCAATTAATAAATTGATCAGAAGAATATTGACAAAAAGAATATGAAATGCAAAAAGAACATAAGTTGCAATAGCACTTGCTACAGTGCCATTTGTGGCAGGTACGTTTGCTGTAGTATTGTTGGCAATAATAGCGTCCAGATTGGTCAATTCATTACCAAAATAACCATAGATAAAAAAATACTGTGGATAAATCACATTCATTAAAATCTGTCTCCCATCAAAATCAAATGTTCCATAATAGACCATTGCACGTGATGTCACACCATAAGCAACAATAGTAATGAATAGAACACATACGAAAAAGGCCATGGCTTGAAGCTAGATTAATCATATAGAAATTGTCACAAGGACAAAAAAATTAATGTCGTCATACAATCTTACCATACGACCAAGCATTACGATCTTGGGCCCAAGAAACTTAATTGTGTAGACGAAGTTAAATGATTTAATGAACCATAATTGAAGATCATAAGCTAAAACAATTCTAGACAACAGAAAAGACACGACTATTCTCATCGACATGAACATTTCGGATAGAAAAGAAAAAATAACCAACCTAGCAGCAATAAAATCATCGTAATTGTTCGATTGAAAACGAAGAATGAGTCCGATGTAGAAAAGAATGAAAGCTAGTGCGCCAGTCATTTTGTAGAAATGAGAAAAATAATCTTTTAATCTGCCTTTCCATGATAAATGGTCACTGTGAAAAAACTAAATAAATTGAGTAATTAAATAATTAATCTCATTCGATTGAACCTCACATGACAAATTTCTTCGATCAACATACTCGTTACAATGATGATGACTAAAATTTCTGTCCAATGTATCGCAGGTATCTTAGCTACTTTAGCTACATCAAAAGCGAACAGCATGTAGTAGCTGAATAGAAGAAGAAAAAACACATAGCCGATCTATGAAAAATAAAATCAAATATCGCTCAAGTTGTGCAGAACAATCAGACAGCCTACACAGTGGTAGAAGAACTTCACCATAGGTGCTTGATGGAATTGTACAAATTTGTTCGTATATGATTCGAAACAATTCGAGCTTGATTGATCTGTTATTTGCAGATAATCAATTCCATATGATTCTAGACTATGATGTGGAAATGGTCTGTTGTAGACAGAATACAAATAATTAAGAAATACTCACTCAAGATCCTTTGTCGAGGCCTACAAATTCGATAACAAATAGAGAATATTATCATAAGTAGAGAAATGAATGTAATAACCTCAAGAAGATTATTAGAACGATATTGCAATAGTAGAGGAGCTAGAAGACCCAAAGTAAACACACTGATTGTAATATAAGTGGGATATAGACGAGAATCGCGATAGTTAGGTTGTAGTTGATTGAGCCAAATATTATTAAGAACTTGATTGCAGCATGGTTGACCCATAAAATTGATATTTTCTGCTGCAACAGCCACCTAACAAATCATTTGCATAAAGAATCAATACCTTATGTTTGCTATGGCAAAGATTTTCTGCTAGTCACTCTCGACAGGCACTAGTTTCATTGTGACATATTCCTTACATATTATAATTTCTCGAAAAAATATATTCCTTACCGAGAACTAGTGTCCTACGTGACCAACATTTTTGGCCACGATCATGATTACAAAGAGTCATGAAAAAAACAATTGTTTAACCATGTTTGGAGAGAAATTGTTCACTGTTTGACAGGGTTATCTGGCAAACCTAACTTTGATCGGAAGGTAAAATATCGAAAATAAAATACGAAAAATGGAACTGTGAAATCAAAATGTGAAGATAGAAATGAGGGTGAGGATGAGGGAATTTGTTCTTTGATGCACTATCCTTTTCAATATTTTTATCTATCGACATCGCTAGAAATTGTTTATGATACTCTTATTGTAGAAATTTTTACTTTCGACAATAATTGAGTGAGTTTGCCATGTATGCGACACTGAGACCGAAACCGAATCGAATTCGAATGGAGATACTGTCGAAATGGACCAAATCGAATGAAGATTTTTTAACGAGGCCAAATTCAATCGACTCAAAAATTTTTCAAATTGTCGAATCAAATCGGGATTTTCTCATTCGCTTTGGTCTCTGATGTAGCATACTCCATTAAACAGAATCAACATTAGCAGAATAAGATAGTAGAGGTCGCTTGTATCTAATCTTTTGCAATGTCTAAATTGCAAGCGTACATAAAGAAGCACAATGTACAATACATCTACTGCTTCAGAAATACACCTTGCTTCACACTTTCTGCAGTAAGCAAAATGTACGGTGTAGACATTGCAGCAGGAGTTAACAATTTCTTTCTGATTTATCGAAAACTATTAAATTTAACAAAAATTGTTTTAACGAAATGTAAAATACCATCTATGAGATAAAAACTACATCAAGGTTTATCAAAATGTAATGAACACTTTTATTTTTTTGTTTCTTTATATTTTATGAAAGTTTGTTTGCATACACTATTCAGGCCCCGCGCAAGGGGGGGGGGGGGGGTGTAGGGGGGTGTACACCCCCCCAAAAATCAAAAATTTTCACCACAAGAGCAGATTTTGTCCGCATTTTATGATTTTTCTGCAAGATTTTTCTGAAAATGCACCCTTACACCCCCCAATCCGCCATACACCCCCCTAATATTTGACCCTTCGCGCGGGCCCTGACACTATCCATGGAAACAGGGTGTATGTGTATATTTCGCTCATATAGACAAAGTTTACATGCACACGTTGTTTCAGATTTTCATAAGAAACACTGGTCACGATCATGATCACGCAGTTTACTACCGAGAGCCTTATTTTTCATGATTATTTTAAGCCTCTAGTGTCTCTCTATTTAGATACATGCTCCTTTCCCACGGCTATCCATTGTCATGCAAAAGCAATAGATATGTTATGACTTTCGAAAAATTATCCACATCACAGTAGAACATTACCTATTCTACAGATCTCTTCACTGCTATTATATCCGAACAGATTTGCCTATATTCCTGGCTAATGCACTGATATAATCCTAAAAAGTCAGTGGCAGACAAATTTACCTGTAAGCATGTAACATTTCCGAAGAGGTGTATTTCTCGAATAATAAGACCACATGCCATAACTGGATCATAATCGTAGCATGATTCAAGCTTTTTCATGGCATATTTTTCAAATAAATTTGCGTCTCCTAATAAACGGGTTTTGATATTAATTGTATTAGCATACTTTTGAGCACATTTTTTAAATATTTTCGAGGCAATCAATGAAGCACATATACGTGCACTAAGATGACCAATCAAGACTAAACACATTTCTTTGCGAAGCATAATCACTGACCAAAGGAAGAGATCACGAATGGTTCGTTCCACAGGATCAACAGAAATTCGATCTCGTTGCTCATTGACTGATATTGTTTCTATCTGATTATTTCGCATAGGTATATAGAAACAATCAATATCGTCAACCTCATCAAGGGGTCCCATGTAGTCACCAATTAATTTAGCTAAAACTTCATTAATACTTAAGTTTTCTTCTAATATCAATTTGCGCAATGGATGATATGTATCCTGAAGGCAATCGCTAAACACAATCTTTACAAGAGAAAAAATCTAACCTTTTCCAAGGTTTCCTGAAAGAAAGACTTGTATGTTATTTGCCATGTTTGCTTTTCTGGTGTTGAACAGATAAAATCAGTGACATTGTTTTTATTCGTGCAAAGAAAATAATCGACGATAGCAGGTCGATCCTTTAGCAAGGCTCTTTTGAATATTTCCAAAAGATCCTATTGAAAAGTTTGTATAAATTGATCGTCACAATTATGTGAAAATTGAAGACTTGGTGCAAATGGAACAAAAAATGCCTTCGAACAACCGTTGAAGTCAACATATGGAAGTAGAACGAGACGACATTTTTAAGCAAAAAACCTGGGCAACATAACTGAAGATAATTTGAACACTCAGAAACTTCAAATATTCAATCATTCCATTCGAAAATAGGTTTTTCAGGTGAACGAAATCTTCAACTTCTAGACACAAGCATTGAAGACAAAATACTCACCTGTTTACTTTTTCCTGACATCTTTGTTTCATAATGAATAACATCTCGAACTCCATCTATGCAATTCCAATCCACAGCTAACGTGACTAATGGTTGTCGTTCGGCAATATCATCACTCATAACTGCTATCGATGGTCTCAATTGATCGCAAGGTTCATTGCTGGCATTGGTCTGTTTTTCTTTTATTTTGCCTGAATAAACGATAAAAATACTTGATTTTATTCTACTACAGACTGATATGAACTCACGTTTACGAATGGCATCAAAAACTGCCTCACGTAGTTCTTTATCACTATCAACTACGAAGAAATGGATATTGCATCTTACTTCAGGCTGTAGACAGAATAAGACTCGTAGCATTGTTTTCAATACATCTTCTTCCGTACTATTTCCCGGCTTAATATCCTGCAAGCCTTGAAATATGATACTTTCAACATCTTGAAACAATTCGCGGAGATCATTTGTATTTTTCTCGAAAGCTTTTTTGTACTCCAAATTAGTTTGACTGGTTTGAATATTGGCCTCAGTGGTAGTTTTAGTTTTTGTTATAACTGAATTGGAAGAATCTGGTCGAAAAGATGGCACTTCTTCTATTATCCTAACTGATGACCATTGCTGCTTTTTGCTTTCATCCAATTGATACAAGAGACTTTCGGTCTGTTTGAACCAATCAGAGAACAGATCAGCAACACGCCCGCTACCCTACAATACCAGAATATTGTGCTGAACAGTAAAAACAAAAAGTACGAAAATTTATAGTTCTCACTTCGATGACAACAATAGGTATATGTCTCATAAGATCATAGAACATGTTATTGATAGTATCAATGCCACCTTCGACGAGCAGTGTAACAACAGGTACTATAAAGGAAAGAAAAGCAGAATAATAATATCACTTCACTCTACAGTTTCCTTTACTGGGTTTGTCGTTATCATTATTATTGATCAATTCGTTTATCAGTTTAGCTCGAGTATCACGTATGTCATGATTATTATGAGTACCATCATCCGGAAATAAAAAATGAGTGTGATTCTGATCGAGTTCTTGGTGACCGTCAGGATTCGTTTTGACAATCTTCTTCTGTTTGACATTTGGATTTGTAGACGGTATCTCAACAAAAAAGGACGGTTATTAGTTTTACTTCAATTGATAGTGCCATTATCGTACCTGTTTCACGGCGCCCCATTTAGCAATAGCAAGAGCAGTAATATTTTCTTTCTTGTTTGTCAATCGATGCTCAGCTATGGCATAACCAACTAGTTCACAAATGCCTGATTTGGCTCCATTGGTAATAATCCAAGCATCTAAATGAATAAGAAAAAGTAAGTTTTCTGTTACAAATTCTTTATGGTGCTAAAAAGAATATTTGTTACATTCTTCCAATTTCGAAATATCGAGTTGATATTCTAGAAAGATGAAGCATCAAATAGCGAAAAAATAAAGTTTGTAGGGTTTCTGGACCTCAAGTCTTCCAGTAACGTTCTAATGAGCTCCGAGCGGCATTCTGCTCTTGAGATCGCCGCGTCACAAAGTGTAAACTTCGGATGTGAAGTTCGAGGGCCCACACTCGGCTGCTATATAGATGCTTCGTGTATTAATAATCAAACCTCATGAAATCGGGTCTGAATAACTTAAATCAACGGAAACAGAATTAGAATTCTGCCAGTCCTAGTTTAATATTTATCTAGTTGGAAAATAGTCCTATTGAATTACTTGAAATTTAGGTGATCCTTGCTGATTCAATCCAAAAAGATCTACCATAGAAAAATATATCCTTCAATTGATTCGTACTTGATGCATTTTGTTGGTTTCCAAAAAAATAGATTGATTTATTTGCCATGGCCAAATCCAAAACTATTGTAATATACTGCTAACCGTGCACTCAAACTGCTTTACTCTATACATACAGAAGTGTGTATAAACGCGATATTCATTCTTCAGCACACATAATGCTGCATACGTGTATGTGATTTATATCATTTCTTTACATTGAACCATATGATCTAATCTAAAATTTGAGTGTCTGAGCGAGTTAGATTTTGTCTTGTGAAAAAAACTGATCCTAACGGTCGTATTAGCTTGATAGTCCGCAATAACCCTACTATTAGTGGTCTTTGTCATATTGAAAGTGTCACGCTAATTGCCTGGGTTAGTGTCTTGTAGCGCCCTTATCTGATGTACTGCTCCTTGATAAGATGCTCGTCTATGATCATCATGTCAAATGCAGCGACTATGGCTATATAATAGTCCTTCCATTCTTCTATGTGTTGCTAGTTCTTAGTTAACTTCCAAAGTGATAATACTAGCACTACTAATTTTTTTTCCCTCCTTTGATGTAAACCAGAATTAAATTACAAACAGACTTAAACATTCTATATAATTTCATTAAAAAAACATGTGAAAGCTTCAATTACTTCTTTGTTTAAAAAAAAGAAAATTATTCTTAAGGTGATACCATCATTCGATAGCATGGACTAAACTTCTGATATTAGGACTCCTGAAAGGAATCTGATAGAAATCTGGTTTTCTTTGAATAAGTTTTGAAAAACATAAAACCAGAATAAAAATAAAACATATCGATCATATTCTGTCGCCAAGTTCAGAATTATTCCTAAAACAGAGATCAGACCCTGTCGGCACAACGGACATACCAATGTTTTCTTGAAGTCTTGGAGACATCTATCATGTAGAACGAAACATTTATGAATCTAAACTTAATCATGCTCAAGAACCTAGATATTTGTGGGCAACATCAAATAAATGCAACAGGATTTAGATTGCTTTTTATTGTTTGTAAGTGAATGTATATGAATCTTTCTCTGTCTTAGAATAAAATCAAACAGAATATGTTCCGTGTACTTACTAGCTTGTGCTGCCAATTGAATAATTCCACTAATAAAATCAATTTCGATTCGATCCTTGGATTTGAACAGTTTTGCTCCGCCAATTAATGAAATAAGCACATTTGGCTTCTTCATTTGCCAGCATTCGAACAGGAATCTTTTAATAAGAGCTGGTGATGTATCAATATCATATCGAATGTACTGTTGAAAAGATAGAGAAAATGACCTGATTGTGATGCATTTCGAATGACTTACTAAACATTGACCTTCCGGATCAATATTATAATCATCTGGCGATTGCTGCAAACTACGATTCGGATCGTTCCACGTTTTGATTTGATTAAGTACATTCATTTTTGATTTACTGTTACGTCCAACAGTTGATAAATTGCCTTCGAATTGTCTCAAGATTTTCGTCTACTTTTCAGTGTTTGCTTTTTTACATAAGCACGTTGTATTGTTTTTTCTTCGTTTACGAATGAAAGCTTTTAGTGCTTTCATTTTATGGTTGACAAGAGAAACGCAACAGTGTCTGTTAGCTGATTACAAATCAGCAGAGCAGCAAAATCATTGTTTTTCTCTCTTCTGAAAGGATGTGGGTGTGAACTGGGGGGTGTTTATGACTGTGTGTGTGGATGTAGTTGTTAATAAAGTAAAAATCAACGTCCACACATCATAGAAATATTTTGTAGCTAATCAAGCTTGACATCAGGAGTCCTATGGGTGAACATCCAGATGGATTAATGATGATAGGTTTACTTCCTAATAATAGCGGACGTAGATTCGCATCAGTGACGTAGTCAGGGGTAGGGCATTGGGCAATTAAGGATGTGGATGTGGTGTGGGTGTGGGGTGAGTGTGGGTAGGTGTGGGTGGGAGTGGGTTGTGGGTATGGGTGTGGGTGGGTGTGGATGTGAGTAGGGTTGCAACTGTAACGATTAATCGTTTACCGTTCTACCGCAGTTACCAGTGAACGGTGAAACAATCAACCGGTGAACCGGACTCCAGTTGACTGAATAGCCGTTTTTCAGGATCCCACACTTAACGAGAAGCTGACGATTCCGAGATCTTCCGCAAGCTAAAACCAGGGCCTGTTTCACCTGTGTTTTGGTAGATCCGGGGCCGGTTTCAGCGTTTGATCGGTCCAACCTGGCCCCGGTTCACCGTTTGATCGATCCAACCAGGGCCCGGCTCACCGGTTGATCGGTCCAACCGGGCCCCGGTTCACCGTTTGATCGGTCCAACCGGGGCCCGGTTCACCGATCGATCGGTCAAACCGGGCCCCGTTTCACCGGTTGATCGGTCTAATCGTTCACCGTTCCAGAGCGATGAAACGGTGACGGTAGAGCGATTCTTGATCGTCACCGTTGCATCCCTAGGTGTCAGTGTGTGGGTGGGATGTGTGTGTGTGTGTGAGTGTGGGTGGGGTGTGGGTGTGGATGGGTGTGGGTGTGGGGTGGGTGTATGGTGTGGGTATGGGTTGGTGAGGAGTGGGGTGGGATGGGGTGAGGGTGAGAGTGAAGAAACACTCACCCTAACACTCACACCCTATACCCATACCCATACCCTAACCCCCAAGAAGTGATGAACGGAAAACAAATAGAAAAATACAATATGATACCAATTCGATGTACTTTTGCATCACTGTTTGACGATACCCTTGTGATCTATGAGAATGGCTTTAGAGTGATCCGTTTCAACAATTCACTACTGAACTGTTACCGGTCTCTTTGTTGCCGCGCATTTCTAACAGCGATAGATATTCGATGATAGATCATCAATATGTCGTTCAATTATGTATCCAATCGCACTGAGAAAAACACTTACAAGAATATTGACAACAGAAATGGAAATTAGGATGATCAAAGCTTCTCCACACGGCGAGAAAACCATGGCTAGTTGGTTTGACATGATTGTATGTTGTGTTCCTTTGACGAATTGCCACAATTTGATGACAAGACCACTGACTACATACTTGTATTCTTCTGTTTATTTATTCGTTTTAAAAGATATTCTTGTTTGAGCTTTCTGTGCAATATTCTTCCTTAAAGTATATGATTCGTTTTCTTTCGAACATTCTGTCTGATGATGATTGTATTATTTTTTGCAGTATGCCGCTTTTTGTCTCGTTACCTACATTTCTAATGATTCGTTTTTCGAAAAAGGATGAGAAAGTTCTGAGTATTTTTAAAAAAAACCTTCTTCGTACTAGAAAAATTGCTGAAATTCTATTCCCTTTCGACTAGATTCTTGGATTCTGCTATGGACTCTGATGCATTTTTGGATTCTGAATTTTGTTGAATTTCGTATTCAAGGTATGCAACTACATTGCCAGATTTAATTACCAAGTAGGAGCAAAATGTTTTCCCCTATCATTTCAATGCAAGCGAACTGTTGCAAAGGCCTTTTCCTACAATGCTTGATGTGTAGTACACTAAATTTTATTTAAATTCTGTTTTGTAGAAAATCGACTTTAAATAAGCTGAAGCATTTTCAAGCTTTTAATATATATTCGTCGAATTTCAAACTTTCAGAAAATGCTTGATTTTCCAAATAATAGAAATTGAATTTGATTTCCTGCAGAAAATCGAAACTTGAATATCAATAGTTTATTTTCAAGAAAGTAGAAATTAATCGTTGAATTCGTATGGGCATTTCTAGAATATCCTTCATTAAACTCTGTATCTTATTTTCTAGTTTACAGTGTAGAAGAATGAGAGGCGTTTTCAACTCGATATACAAGAAGATTAGCTACCAGAACCTCATAATCTCTCAAAGAAAAAAAAAGTTCATTTTTCCATTAGCTCGTTCTCCTCTATCATTTATTATTACATCTTCATTTACATATCCATGAATAGAGCAGAAGCTAAACTACACATGCATATATGCAGTCTATTTAAGTGGTTTATTGTTTCAGATTTGTTCGACATATGCAAAAATGTCTTATTTTCCTGACAGTGAATGAACACAAATAATAATCTCTTGAAGACAAAAAATAGTTTTTTCAAGAATGAACTACGCTATTTTATAAGCATATATTTATTAAATAATTATATCATAAACAAGTATAGAACAGTATAAATTACATATATAATACACAAGAAACTATTGATTGGCTCTCTTGCATTTCAGTTACAGAATGAGAAATATAAGATTGTATAGCTTTCTGTGGTATATCAGTATCATCAAAATGAGACATTTTTGTATATATCGAACAAATCTAAAACAATAAGCCAGTAAAATGGACTGCATATATATATATATGTGTAGTTTAGCTTCTGCTCTATTCAGGGACATGTAAATGAAGAAATAATAATAAAGGATAGAGGAGAACGAGCCAATAGAAAAATGAACTTTGTTTTCCTTTGAGAGAATATTATACGAGGATCTTCTTCTAAGCTCTGTTAATAAGAATACATCTGAAAACGGAGAAAACTTTCATTAGAGTAGTATGGTTTCTGCTTAGTCAAAAGGAAAGAAATAATTAGTTTTGTAAATGGGATATAACAGTGTTCATCAGATACGATTCTCTAGTTATTTGTTGAAAAAGTCCTTTTCATACTATTTTGTAAAGAATTGAATTTTCAAATGGTAGAAGCTGAGTGAGAAAAACGCAGAATACGTAGAGATCTGCTACATGCTGGGAGAAAATTGGGTGATGAGTCAATAAGATCGTGCTTTTCTCTTTGAATATCATACCTATAAAAGAGAGAAAAGAAAAATCATAATCCTTTCTGTCGCACATAGCAACATTTCATTTGTCACTAGCAGATCGCTGGGTCTGGGTCGTACTTGTTGTATGCGCAATTCATTCAAGTGATCTTTCTGTCATTTTACACTTTTAAGAAGAACGATGAACACTTCTCGACCGCCGCTCGGAACCGGTGGACCCAATCCACCGGGTGGAAGTGGCAGTCCTCCTCGTCCACCGGGAATGCCAACTTTGACAAACCTACAAAGTAACGTTGCACTGTATGGCTATGCTCTCCTCTACATTCTCGGCATCTTTGGTCATACGAACAGTTTACTGATCTTTCTTCGACCCACTCTTCGTTATGTGTCGACCAGCTGTCTATTCGTTGCACTCACTATCTCTGATTCCCTTTATCTTCTTGTCAATATCTATGATTTTATTAATACGGGTCTTCGACAACCTGATACCTCACTAGATCCATCAGCTGTATGTCGCTTTCGTACATTCGTTCAGTCAACATTCATGTGCTGTAGTGCATGGTTACTGGTGGCAATCTCGGCTGATCGATGGGAACGCGTACGATTTCCATTCAAATCAAAACAAGTGTGCACACGAAGAAATGCAATCTTGGTAACAATAGGCATACTTATCTTTGCCGCTGGTTTAAATAGTCACTTTCTTCTACCTCAACTATTTGGACGACTGCCAGCGGGTATCATGACAGTATGTGGTGCCAGAATGGTGAATCCTACCTATTTTCAATTTTTTCGTCGAACGTGGCCGATTCTCTTTTCGTGCGTTCAAGCTCTTGTTCCTGCTATTTGTCTACTCATCTTTTCTCTTGACGCCTTTCAACGTTTGACTCGACAATCTGCCATACGAAATGCGACACGTGCGCGTCGTCGTACCTATCTCGACAAGCAATTCTTATTGATAATGCTCATCAGTATTACATTGTTTGTGATCACGACTCTTCCTGTGGGCCTGTATAATATATTGCAGCCGATTGTACTTCCCTCACTACTGACACAAACACAACAATTGGAACTTTTTTCTATATTCACATTTGTGGCCGGTATAAACTATACTATCAATTTCTATTTACACTCGTTAGCAAGTCCCTTATTTCGTCAAGAACTCTTGCAGATATTCAAGTGTGGACGGGAACACACACGAGTAGTTCCAATGACGGGCACAGGTCGGATGACGGGTGCAGTAGCAACAGTGACACAAACACAAGCAAGATAACTAAACAAGGCACGATAGCCATATACATGTATATAACACATTCATATATTACCAACATTGGCTTTCATCGTCAGCTTCAAATGATTTATTGTTCGAATTAAACTTACACTGAAGAAAGAGTCGTTTTCGTCCAACCAATTCCAGTTTTCTGATCTACTGCAACAAGAATGAAATGTAGTATTGCTAGATCAAAATTTTTTGCATATATATTGTATAAAACAGAGTACATCAATTTATCTTGCTTATAAACTGCTGAAAAATTATGGAAGCTCTGCTTAGTCCGCGAACATAGCGGAACTATCTTGGGTTGAGGGCGTGGGTGTGGGTGTGGGTGATAAACTTTTCATTTCCACACCGACACCTCACCCACATCCACACTCTGTACGATTCTTACTTCAGGAGAATCCACATT